TTGGAGAAAAAAAAAAAAAAGCAAAATAAAACTGAAGAAAGCAAATTCACATGAAAGCAGATAATACAATAATGCCACAGGAATGAATTAATAATTACCTTGGTAACCAGGTATGATCATCACTTGTTATAAAAGGGGAACAAGCCTGAAAAACATTGTATTAGTTCTATTGCATATATAGTGCATCTTGTGAACAATATTTTGGAAGGTTCGAAATTAATTTTGTTTTGGAGTTAATTATATGTATGACACGTGTTCGGCCCTTTGGATCGCAAATTGTTAGTTGATTTAGGAAAGCGACAACGGCTCTCAATCGCATTTATCCAACTAATATCTTTGAGGCTGTCACGCACAAGTCATAACGCATTGGGTGCACCACTACTAAAATCGCATTTTAAGGATTTTCTTTGTTTATTTTATTTGTTAAGGAAAACTCCATATATAAATAACAAAATATTTATAAATAGAGTAAATCAATTTTTTCCATCAGATCTAATTTTAGTAAACGAGAAGGACGAACGTTTGTAATAATTAAAGTAAGCAAGATTTAGTAAAATTTCTACTCTAAGTATGTGTATTTTGGGAAGTGCTCCTCTAATTACGTTGGACACATATTAAATTAATATTATATTATTTTTATATACTTATACGATATTTTTAAAATACAAATTCTAAAATATAAAAATATTTTTATTTTATTTTTTGTTTTCGAGCTTGAACTAGTTCAAAGGAATAAATTTTGAGTTTGTTAAATAATTTGAAAAAGTTTGTTTCCTACTTTTTTTTGAAGGACAACAACTCGAACTTTAACGAACGAGCTTGATCACAAATTTTCTCTGGTATAATAAACAAACAGCGTTCGAACATAAACGAACACAGACTCAAAATGCCCAAGTTTGGTTCGTTCGATTTGATTGCAATACTACAAACACGCTATACCATAATGTTTAAGACAACGAAAGAATGAAAATAATTAATTATTCCAAGTGAGGCGAGTTCATAATAATTAAGAAACAAAGTTAGAAAACTATAAGGTATACACAATATATAAAATTCGACATTTTTATATATGAGTCCAAGGGCAATTATATGAATTGTTAGCTCGAAAGAAAAATCAAGCCAACCACAACATATATTCTACAAGTTAAGTGATTAATAGATTAATGAATAATTTACCAATGTCGTGATTGAAAATCGTAAAAATGTATAAACTTAATGAATGAAATGGATCGGAATAGTAGAGTGCGCAACGTATGTATGAACATAAAATATAAGTGGAAGAGGCAATTAACAAATTTGTCTTCGAAGAACGTCTCTCTGCCACTCAGAATTCTTTGATTAGCAAATCGATTGTCTCCCATTATTTCAAATATAGAACTCCCTATAAACCTTCTACAACTATACTTGAACATACAAACTACTTTCCTGGCCACAACTTGGACTAATAGCTGGTAATGGAATTCCTTCGAGCTGACAATACTCAAAAGTACAAAGGTCTTATGCTTAAGTCTTTCAAAGATGCAAGAACACAAAATTGAAATTTTAATTCAAAAACTATAAAATATAATCACCAAACTCACGAACTCTCAGAGAATAAACTAACTTAATATGCTCATGAGAGAACAATATAACTCGACTGTTTTCTCTAGATTTGGTGATCTAATATATATAGACAAAAGACAAATCCTAACTAGGTTATAAGGACACCTTGGGTGGACGTGATCTTCAACATCTTTTTTTTTAGATCCTTCAAGTAGAATCCGGGTTTGAAATATTTGACCTTTAAAATCGCGATTTAAAAATTGTGCAGGAACATGAGTTTTATAAAACAGCCGATCTTTCAAATTTAAGAGATCTAGTGTATCTTTCCAATTCCTCCTTATATCTTCTCAGAACATCCAAGATCATTCATGTATGGGTAGTTCATTCTTTTATAGTCTTTGCCACATATTTCTTGTCCTATATGAGAGACATACTAATTATTGTATAAAATCTAACTCATGAATACAACCAACATATAGAATAAGTGAAGATATATATTATGTAATCCTTCTCCTAAAGCATTAAGCCTTCATAATAAATACTATAACAAATATATTATGTTAATCATGATTAATTATTTTTATTTTTATTTTATTTTGATTTTTTTCCATATGAAGTTCTTTCATTGCATAGTATGCTAATAAAATATCAAACCTTATGATGCAAATTAGAAAAATCTCTTGATTGTAGAATGAATTTAGTTTTAGCAATTGCTAAATCAAAGTTGTTTAATTATTATAATAAATTAAATTGTTAAATAACATGTGTGTATATTTTGTAAAATATATATATACACAATATTTTATTTGAATTTATTTACGTAATTTAAATACTACATTAATAAATTATATTAACGTGCATTATATAATTTTTATTACACAAAATAAAAAGAAGAAGAAGACTACTTCTATAACTCTCATATATATAAAAAAAAATAACTATAATTGCAGCCGGTTGGTTGAAATGGCGTCAGACGTCGGACGTTCTCTGTGATAAGAGGGTGCCACAAAGGCTAAAAGGTAAGTTCTATAGGACGGCGATTCGCCCGGCGATGCTATACGGTGCTGAATGTTGGCCTACAAAGAGGCAACATGTCCAACAACTAAGTGTAGCAGAGATGCGTATGTTGCGTTGGTTCTGCGGGCACACAAGAAGGGATAGAATCCGGAATGAGGATATTCGAGATAGGGTCGGGGTGGCTCCAATTGAGGATAAATTGGTTCAACATCGGCTGAGGTGGTTCGGACATGTCCAACGGAGGCCTCCTGATGCACCGGTGCGTAGTGGAGTTCTACAGCGGGTCGAGGATGTTAAGAGAGGTAGAGGTCGGCCTAAACTCACTTGGGAAGAGTCGGTTAAGAGAGACCTTAAAGATTGGAATATCTCCAAGGATTTAGCGGTGGATAGGAGCGCTTGGAGGCTCGCTATCAACGTGTCAGAACCGTGACTTTTGCTCCTTTCTCTCTCTCTCTCTCTCTCTCTCTCGTGTGTTTTTTTTTTCGATCTCTTCCTTTCGGTTCGAGTCTTTTTGTGTTTCTCTTGGGTTTCATCTCTAGTCTACTCCGACTTACTTGGGACTAAAGGCTATGTTGTTGTAATGACATTATATGACAATAAATTTTATAATAAAATAATAAATTCAGTATTATATGGTGAACAAGAATATGTAATGCTATTATTTTCTCTTATATCTAGGAATAAATATATATTCTAAAATCGAATTTATATTAGTATAAATGTTTCAGCAGAATAATATATTAATTAATTTACAAACTAGGGATAATATGATCATGTTTAACGTTATGACTAAAAAACAACGCCGATTTAAAGAAGTGGAAAATAGATGATTCTACTCTATTATTTTTAAGGCCTAAACGGACATGTCCTATGAAATGACTCATTTAACATCTCTAACCCGTACATCGCATTAATTAATAATAAATACTAGAAACTTAATTAATTTACAAGTAAATAAATAGAAAATTTTTCTTTAACTTATTGTGTTTGTCTAATAAGAAAATCTTATAGAAAATACTTAAGTTTGTCAGACGATACCAAACCAATATTTTAACACTTTTAAACATTGTATATATACATATCAACTGAATAATAAGTTATTACATATTATGAAAATAATAGAATACAAATGAATTAAATATTACATAGTATTTTTATTAAATTGATATTCCTTTATTAATTTAATTTCAACGTTTATTTCATAATTAATTGCCTCTGTATGAGGTAATAGCATTAGCCTATTTAAAGTTAACAACATGTAGTTTTGGAGAATCACAAATTTTGTTTGGAAATGTACGGTTGTTAGGGTCTTCAAACAAGTGAATTTGCACTATATATAAGAATGCAAAACAATTGGTAAAAAACACAAAAACACGAATCATCATAATACATTAAGAGGAATTACCTCTTGTTTTGTTAGTGATCGCCTATACCTGCAGAAGTTCTATCTCTAACTATAAGGCAAGTTATCATAATAAATTGTTTTTCTCTTGTTCTTATTGTTCCTAATAATACTATTCATTTTTAATTACCTAGAAAATAACACGGCTTTTGTTTTTTTATTGATCTCCCCCTTTTATTGTATTTCTAGCACGTTTGTGTTTCCTCAATTTTTCTTCCTTCGTCAATATTAATGATTTAACATACATGTCTAA